TGACACAGTTTATGAAGACAATGTTCTACATTCCACCTTGGTGAGTAGCGTCTGGGATCTTAAAAGCCTGTGAGCAGCCATCTAAGATACTCTACTGGTCTCAACACTTCAGGAGCAAGGGAGAATGAAGAGAACAAGAAACAAGGAAAAGATTAGTCCAAAGGACTAATAGACCACAGCTACCACAGCCTCCACCAGACTGAGTCCAGTACAGCTAGATGGTGCCCAGCTATCACCAATGACTGCTCTGACCAGGATCACTACAGAGGGTTCTGGACAGAGCTGGAGAAAGAAGTAGAACAAAATTCTAACACATACACAAAAAAGAGCAGATTTACTGGCCTGAAAGAGACTGGGAAAACCCTGAGAGTATGGCCGTCGGCCACCCTTTTAGCTCAGTGGTGAAGTCACTTCCGAGGTTCACCGTTCAGCTGGGGATTGGACAGCCTCATAAAACAAAATGGAACTAATGAAGCACAGCAGTCCAGAGACAAGGACTAGAAGGCAGGAGGGAACAGGAAAGCTGGTGATAGGGAACCCAAGGTTGAGAAGGGACAGTGTTGACATGTCGTGGGGTTATTAACCATTGTCATAGGGCATTATGTGTACTATTTAATGAGAAACTATTTGTTCTGCAAACCTTCATCTAAGGTACAAAAAAAAAGAATTATCTATGCGAGATCAAATTGACAACAGCAACTCAAAAGTTCTGATGCGAAGCCTAGGGGGCAGTGAGTTGAAGATGATGGTGATGGAATAATTTGGAGAAGGATAGTGAGAATAGCAGCACAACTGGAAGAATGTAATCGATGTCACTGAATTGTACATGTAGAAACTTTTGAAATGGTGTAACTTTGGCTATGTATATTTTCACCAAAAAAAAGTCCTCCAAGGTCGACAAGGGAGAGTGTTGACGTGTCGTGGCGTTTTAACCAATGTCATAAGGCAATATGTGTACTAACTGTTTAATGAGAAACTATTTGTTCTGTAAACCTTCATCTAAAGTACAATAAAAAAATTTTTTTAAAAAGTAGGGGAAATAACCCCTATCTCAGATTTCTGGTGAGAATTGGAAGAGATAATGCATGTAGCTAACTCAGCACAATTCCAGTGTATGTCAAATGCACAGTAAATGTTATCTATTATTAAAACTGTGTTCTAATCACTAAAACCTCCCAAAAGACTATTTCTATCCTGTGAGACCCTGTGTGAGTAGCATCTAGGCTCCCTCCATGGCATGTGTCTCTCCTCTTTTAAAGTGCTTTAACAACATTCTTGGTGTAACAATAGTTACTTTTTTAACTACTGTGACCATGTTCATAATTGCATTTGCTATGAGGGTTAGTAGAATTATCATTGTTAAGTTAAAGTTCTACTTTTATTTTGATAGGTTAGTATCACTGAAAAATTTTACAGTATAAATAAAAACAAATATTTCAGAGTTAGAACTTTAACTCGTTACTCTTTCAAACTAAAAATATCCTTAATGGCATAACTGAAAGATCATGAAAGATGGTCCTCTTTACACCTTATTGAATATTTCCAGTGATAAGAGACTAACTACCTCATAAGACTGGTGATTTTATTGATGTACATTTTCAAATCATTAAATAGTTCTTCTTCATTGAAAATAAATCTGCCCATGGTTCCTGGGTTTCTGCGTGGAACAACTAGTAAGAAGTCTACCTATGCCTCCTACAAGCATTTGAAGCCCACAGTAATGTCTGTTTCTCTTTTTTTGGTAGAAGACCCAAGGATCTCTGGATTTTCATAGTAGAGTGGTTAAAATCCTTGGCTTTGAAATTAAAGAGTCCCAGCTCTGTTACTTCCTAGTTGTGTGCTATTCTTCAAGTTATTTAATCTGTGTTTATGTTTATTTGTCAAATAATATCACCTACCTCATAAAGTTTCTTTTGGAGATTAAATGTAATAATGAATTTAAGAATTTAGCATAGCACATAGCACAGTGTTTTTGATGAATTGTGTACTGAATATTAGATATTATTTTAGTCATTCATTCTGCTTTTGAAATGGTTTACAGTTTCTTAATCTACACGGATTACCCCCTATGAATGTACACAGTATGTCAATGTTTCTGTTTAGAAGTACCGACCAGAAGGGCACATAATGATAGCAGATATATAACAAATAATTACTACATAACTAGGTTTCTCTCTTGAATAGTAATGTTTATTAGAGATAACTCTGTAGGCATAAGGACATACAAGTAATTGAAAAAGTAATGAGACAAATGGTATCATGAGCTAAGACTTGAAGGAGTGATAGGCAACCAAAGCGATAGTATTCAGGTAATTAGAGAGTCTGATCTGGAGACTATTCCACCACACAAGAAGCCTTGGATAAACATAGGTATTTCACACTTCATAGCACTCCTTTCCAATGATCTCATAACTATTGTTTCATGGTTGGATGATGAGTAAGGTTGACTTAAACTAATTGCTCCCTCTGAGCTGGCACTGAGTCCCAAATAGGACTTAAGAGGATCTGAAGAAAGTTCCAAGGAAGCAATCTGGGGAGAGTGAATGTGTACAGGTCTCAAGTGTAAATAACCCTAAGAGACTCAATTCTTTATAAGTAGGAGAATCGAAGCTCTTTTGGCTGGAGCGCTCTATGCTCTCCTTGGAAACTCTAAAGGTGAGGTCCTGTTATAATCCTTAGGAAAATAGAAGTATGTTCCCAGGTGGACTGTGTGAGTGTTCAAACTTCTTCCCATGTCTCACCGTTAGCTCTGCACCTCACACACTAATGAGTCCATGTGTGGTTACCTTCCTGGTCCTTGGAGACTTCTTTATTCTGGAATGGACTTAAATATCAAACATGATTGCAGAATAATAGAAAATCATGGTGCCTGATCACAGGCAAGGACAAGAGACTGCTGAGATCTGTGCTGATCGAGGGAAGGGGATCTAGGTCACAGAAATTTGAGTTGCTCAGAGAGACTATTCAGGTGTGGCTAGAATTAGTAATAAGGAGCAGGCTGATAGCAACATTCTCCCACCCACTCCCCACTTTCCGCCCCAGAAGGTCACTGTTTCTCTCCTTGCTGTCTTCATTTTTGCCTAGCTCTAGGGCTGTATGTGGGTGACTCATTCTGGCTTGGTCATTCTCTTTAGAGATGGTTTTCATTGGGACTTAGGACACCCTATGATTGGTGTCTGTTGAGTATGGCTCTATAATTTGAAAGCTCCTATACTATAGCTTGGAACCCTGGCGGCACAGTGATTAAGAGCTACAGCTGCTAACCAAAAGATTGACAGTTCGAATCTACCAGCTGCTCCCTGGAAACCCTATAGGGCAGTTCTACTCTGTTCTATAGGGTCGCGATGAGGCAGAATCTACTCCACAGCAACGGGTTGGTTGTTGGTTGGTTGGATACTATAGCTAGTATCAAAGGGGTGGAAAAAGTCTTTTGTTTGAGTATGTAAACTAAATAAGATAATAACTAGATGTGCTTCTAAAGTCAAGACGGTAGATGACCAAGAAATAGTACGTGAAAACTTTCCCCACCTTAGTATAAAACAATGATATAAACCCACCCAGGGCAGTGCCTGTTTTTGGTCATTATCTTGCAGTGGAACACGGTGTCTTAGAAAGCAAAGGTAAACAGAAGTCATTTTTTCTTAATGATTAAAGACATGAAAAATGGAATGAAACAGATCTGGGTCTTGTCTCATCACGTACTAGTTTTGTCACCTTGGCATTTTACTGAGTTTTTCTAAGCTTCAGCCTCCTGATTTGTAAAACAGGAATAGTAATAATAGTATCTCCTTATATATTTATTTAAAAAAAAATCATACTTCAAAAGTACTAAGCCCAGTCCTTGGAATACAGTAAATAATCATTAAATAGTATGAATGTAAAGTATGTACGTATTTTATTATTATTATTACATAAGTAATAAGAGGAAGAGATCCCTGGATCTTCCAGATGTCATACTTGGTTCTTGACTTTTGAAAAGTACCCTATTAGTCCTGTTCTTTGCCTTTCTTCTGTGTGGGTCACGGTATATCTTACTTGAGCACAGTAATGAATTTGATGCTTTCCTTGCTGCTACTGTTTCTCTTCCTTAATATTTCAGAGTCACCTTAGGTCCATTTAGAAAATATTAAAAGAACCAGAAAAACCATAGCAGCATCTCCTGACAGAGTTGGAGATATTAGAACTCTTAGAACTCCCCACTCCAGAAGAATATAATATGAAGAGGATATGATCTAAGTCTACTCAATAATGTTATTTAATAAAACACTTACTTGCAAATAATTATAGAATGCCAACATTAAAAGAAGTTACTCAAAGAACTAAGTTTAAGGTACATAAACTAAAGGCATGCTTTTCATGATTTATAGTTTTGCCACATTCACAGATATTTCATAAACTTTACCATGATTTCAAGAGGATATTTTTGTTTTTGCTGTTGTTGTTATAATAATTAGGATTTCCCATTTTGTAGATGATAAAACTATGCCTATGAAAGATGGTGTATAAATTGTTCTAACTCATGTAGCTAACAAATGTCAAAGCTAGGAACCAAATCAGGTGTTCTGATTTCTAATACAATTTTTTTTCTGATATTTTGCAGAAGGTAATGAATAGTGGGAGTTTGTTACTTGAAGAAATGGTGAGATTTCAAAATATAAATACCCCAAAGAGAATAAATCCATGAATAAACAAGTGTAAAAAAGTTTCTAACTTAACATGAGAGAGTTTTGAATATGTCTCTAAACTTCTGATGTTGTAATGGGGGCAACCATTCACCTCTACAAAACACCCTTTTCTGAATTTGGATAGATTGTAGCTCTGAAATAGTCTGATATTTCTTATTATCTTATGTTTTTACATAGATCTCATCCTACGTAAGAAGCCTACTTGTTGCTTGTTAAAAGCATAGCCAATGTACTCATCAGCAAGAAGATTGAAGATTTGATATTGGTGTCCGCACTTTGGTGTCTCGGATCCTTTTTGAGGTCTTTCTCACAGCAATGACAAATCACTCAGTGGTGACTGACTTTATCCTGCTGGGCATCCTGCACACAGAAGGTCTGGAGACCATGCTCTTTGTCCTGTTTTTGTCTTTCTACCTCTTCACCCTGATGGGGAACCTGCTCATTCTACTTGCAATTATCTCCTCTACTTGGCTTCACACTCTCATGTACTTCTTTCTGTGCAAGCTATCTGTTTTTGACATATTTTTTCCTTCAGTGAGCTCCCCCAAGATGCTATTCTACCTCTCAGGGAATAGCTGAGCTATCTCCTATGCAGGCTGTGTGTCCCAGCTCTTCTTTTACCACTTCCTGGGCTGCACTGAGTGTTTCCTGCACGCTGTGATGCCCTATGACCACTTTGTGGCCATATGTTACCCTCTGCGCTACACAGTCATCATGAGTCACAGCGTGTTTGCCATCCTGGCCTTGGGGACTTCATTTTTTGGCTGTATTCAGGCCACCTTTCTAACCACTCTCACCTTCCAGTTGTCCTACTGTGGTCTTAATGAGGTGGACTATTACTTTTGTGATATCCCAGTGATGCTAAAGCTGGCCTGTGCAGATATCTCAGCCCTGGAGATGGTGGGGTTCATCAGTGTAGGCCTCATGCCCCTCAGCTGCTTCCTTCTCATTCTCACCTCCTACAACTGCATTTTCTACTCCATCTTGCAGATTCACTCTGCAGAGGGTCGACACCGTGCCTTCTCCACCTGCAGTGCCCACCTCACTGCCATCTTTCTTTTCTATATGCCAGTGGTCCTCATCTACCTGCAGCCCACCCCCAGCCTCTGGCTTAATGCAACTGCTCAGGTCTTGAACAACCTGGTCACCCCCATGTTGAACCCCTTGATCTACAGCCTCTGGAACAAGGAGGTGAAATCATCTCTAAGGAAGATCCTATATCATTTGGGCTTCCTTCCTGAACACCTGTAGAGAGCGATCAATAGCTAATGTTTCAATCATAATTCATATTTTAGAAAACATTTTATATGGTTCTCCTAAAAATTTTTGAATTTGAGAACACAGGTTATATTATTATTCCCATTTTACAAGGTGAGGACTAAGACTCAAAGAGTTGAAGTGACTTGTCCAAGGATACATAAGGAGGGAATGGCAGAATGAGGACTCGAGAGCTGGTTTTCTGACTCTGGACCTGTGCTCTCTTGAGGACATCATACTGCTGTTCTCGGAGGAAGGGAACTCTTCCCAGTAGAGAGAAAAACTTGGATTTTATGTTTTTTAATCTTTTTTTTTTTTTCAGTCTCCTACCTCCTCTCCTTCTCTTCTTTTCTCCTTCACCCTGAAACTTTTTCAGGTTGCCTGCAGTGATTATTTCCTCAAATGCCTGCATCAGATAAACCCGCATTTAATAGTCTAGATGTTATTGAAAAAATGGGATATGTGCATTCCCTTGGCTTCAAGTAGCATCCTGTGACTTCTGAACCATAAAGACACTGTGTAAATGAGAAACAATTTTGGCTGGGACCTAAGGCAGGTCTCTTGTTGGCGAAGCAGAAGTCTCAGCGTGCTATATCATCTAAAAACCCTGTCTGTTGGGCTTAGACTTGGAAACAGGCCCTGGCTGCGAAAAAGCCATATGTGAACGAGAATGTGGACAGGGTAGAGAGAAGGAATCCATGAAGGGGTGACTGTCCTATGATTCAATGTTAGAAAATCTGGACTTGCCTTTGTATTGTTCAGTGCAGCCAGGGGATGATGCTGGGTCCAAGCTGCCATTGTTTTGTGTCTTTGGCTTCTCTGTTTACTAAAAGAGTTTGTCATTGGCCTCTCTTCCTACATTTCTTAATTATTTCCTTGAAATAGGTTAAGAATGAAAAATGTGATATTTCAATATAGTGAGCTACAGTTCTCTTGACTGTTCATTGAGAATCCTGTCACATGTGGGGATTACAGTTGCTCTGAAGGTTGTTCCCACAGTAATATATGGAGGGAAGGACACTAGGAAAAGGAGATGGAAGAGCAGGGGACAGAGGCAGAGGCAAGTTGTTTTTCTCTTGTTGTCTGCATTTCTCAATATCAGAGAGCAGTCAGGGAATCTCTCTGAATGAACCATGTGGTGAGCCAGCACATGCTCCTGGAGGGGAGACAAACTTCTGCCTAGTCATTTCTCTTATGTTCCTAAAACCCTCTCAGCACTATTTCTCTCTTGTTTTTCCATAAACAAGAGTCTAAAGAGAAGCTGGAAATACATCTTAAATTATTTCAAATTTGCCATATCTCAAACCTTTCCCAAGCTTCTTTGAGTTCACTCTTCTCATTACTCAATTTGCTGGTTGTAGCTGTTCAGAGAAGAGTCTCTGGGTGGCGCAAATGATTGAGCACTAGACTACTAGCTGAAAGGTTGGCAGTTCAGACCCACTCAGAGGCACCTCATAAGAAAGATCTGGCAGTCTGCTTCAGAGAGGTCACAATCTTGAAAACCCTGTGAAGCAATTCTACTTTGCACACATGGGGTTTCCACGAGCTGTAATTGACTAGATGGCAACTAACAATAAGCTACTCAGGTGCTCAAAATAGAACAATTGCGAAAATAAAAGATGGGATTCAATTCATTCCTATTTTTGTTCATTCGGATGTCATTTGATCACTAACTCTGTGCTAGGTGTGCAGAAGGAGCCCTGGTAGTGCAGTGGTTAAGAGCTCAGGCTGCTAACCAAAAAGTTGGCAGGTCAAAACCACAAGTGCTCCTAGGAAACCCTATGGGGCAGTTCTACTCTGTCCTATAACGTTGCTATGAGTCAGAATCAACTCAATAGCAATGCATTTGGTTTTTGGTTTGGCTTAGTATGGGGAATGCACAGATGAAGAAGACTTGTTCCTGCTTGATTGGAAAAGTTCACTGGAGAAAATAAACAGGTATATACCTAACTAGAACACCCACGATAAATGCTATAATCTAGGTATGAAGTAAAGCTGAAAGTATGGAGTACATTTTGCTGGGGCAGGGGAGTGACCTCACAAAAGAAATGTTGAAGGTTGATTTTTTTTTTCTCTCTGATGAAAATTGACTGAGATGGGTTTTCCAGGAAGAAGTAACACACTTCAATCTTTTGTTTTAGGAGGTAAGAAATAATTCCTTCAGCGGGTATCACTCAACTATTTGTCATCTATGAGTGATTGCCCTTGCAGAAAAAAATAAAATTCACTTAACCTTCTGTTATTCAGGGTTCTTCCTCTAGCTCATCCCTTTGCTCCCAGATTGGAGGAATGCCATGGAAAAAAGGACTGCATGTCTATCTCCTTAAACAAACTGACCTGTCTGCTTCTCCCACCCGTTCTGAGAAATGCAGAAGTTGCCATGTCTCTGAGTAGCATCTGAGCTGCCTTTCACCTAGGCAGGAGCCCAGAATACTAAGCCCAACCTGGGGATGTGTAGGCCCAGGTTAGATTTGATGGTGGAATGAGACTTTTCTGTGTTCTATAATTTAAGGGGCAATGTATAGGGTTAGTATGAGTTGGAATCGACTCAATGGCAATGGGTTTTTTTTTTCTTTTTAGTAGGGAGATTAAAGTCCCTGGGTGGCACAAGTGGTTTTCACTTAACCAATAACCTAAAGGTTGGCCATTTGAACCCATCCAGTGGCACTGTGGAAGAAAGGCCTGGCTATCTGCTTCCATACATATTACCACCAAGAAAACTCTATGGAGCAGTTCTACACTGTAACACATAGGGTTGCCATGAGTTGGAATCGACTTGACAGCTACAGGTTTTGTTTTTGGTTTGGTAAAAAGAATTGAATGAAAGTGTCTATGCGAGAAACTCTACACCAGGTATACCATCTAGCATAATATTTAAAGCACATGGACAGGGCGAAAACAGAGAATCAAAGTTTAAGACCAGAGAGGTAGGACAAGAACAAGAATATTGAAGCAGAGGTTCAGAAGATGTTTTTAGCAGAATGGGCTACAGCAGCAGTATTTCCTGAGACACTGGCCTCACACATAGTCCAGAAAGGGCACATTAGCCCTGACCCCATGTGGATTCTAGTTTCATTAAAGGTCCGCCTCACTGCCTTTAATGAAACATACTTTATGTACAATACTCCCACACTTTATTCACTATACCATTGTAGTGTCAGTCACTGTTCCTTTTTGTTCTTCTTTAAATTTCTAGGATAAGAGATGTTCGTTTTTATTATCTCCTAGGTATTTTGTTTTACCCACAGTTCCTAGAGACAGAAATGATGATGTAGCCATCCAAAGTGGAAGCTTGTTGCATGGACACTAAGAGTGGAGCTGAGATGATGGCTCATGATCTGGCACTGGGGGGATTGTGGAGAGAGATTCTCAAAGGAGTATTCACATGGTTAGAGGCCTGTACTATTTATTCCCAGCTCTCCCTGGGACCCTACTGGTGTGTTCTAAAACACATTGATTGAAATGAAAAATAAATATAAATAAAATCCATGTTTTCAGTCACTTGCAATTTTTTTGTAAGGAATACCAACTTTAGCTTTATGAAAATAATTATTCAAGCTAAGAGAATGACATTATTACATGTTGTGCTAGTTCACTTAAGATAAGAAGGGCGCTAATGCCAGTAATTATTGGAATGTTAAATTGTTGAGATATAATCTAGTCTATCATTTATCACTATTTCATTTTACATTTCATTGTTTAAAAATATTATTTTAATGCTTGTTTCAGTAAGATTCTACAGTAACAACAACATCAAAACATCATTGTTCCTGCTGGATGTCTTACTTAAAAATTTGCTTTTATCACATGTCAAACAATTGGAAAATTATAACTGTGAACAATGTGTAAAATATACCAAGTATAATACTATTAATATCTGTGTCCCCCTATCCAGTTTCCCTCATGTGTCTGTCAGTTTGTCATACCGTGGGGGCTTGCATGTTGCTGTGATGCTGGAAGCTATGCCACTGGTATTCAGATACCAGCAGGGTCACCCATGGAGGACAGGTTTCAGCTGAGCTTTCAGACTAAGACAGACTAGGAAGAAGGACCTGGCAGTCTACTTCTGAAAAGAATTAACCCGTGAAAACCTTATGAATAGCAGCAGAACACTGATATCGTGCTGGAAGATGGGCCCCCCCAACTCAGGTTGGAAGGCACTCAAAAGACAACTGATGAAGAGCTGCCTCCTCAAAGTAGAGTCAACCTTAATGACGTGGATGGAGTCAAGCTTTCAGAACCTTCATTTGCTGATGTGGCATGACTCAAAATGAGAAGAAACAGCTGCAAACATCCATTAATAATCGGAAAGTGGAATGTGTGAAGTATGAATCTAGGAAAATTGGAAATTATCGAAATGGAATGCATAAATATCTATATCTTTGGCATTAGTGAGTTGAAATGGACTGATATTGACCATTTTGAATTGAACAATCATATGGTCTACTATTCCAGGAATGACAACTTTAAGAAGAATGGCACTGTATTCATTGTCAAAAAGAACATTTCAAGATATATCCTGAAGTGCAACGCTGTTAGTTATAGGATAACATCCATACACCTACAAGGAAGACCAGTTAATATTACTATTATTCAAATTTATGCACCAACCACTAAGGCCAAAGAGCAAGAAAATTGAAGATTTTTAGCAGCTTCTGCAGTCTGAAATTGGTCAAATATGCAATCAGGATACAATGACAATTACTGGTGATTGGAATGCAAAAATTGGAAACAAGTAAGAAGGATTGGTAGTTGGAAAATACGGCCTTGGTGATATAAACAATGCCAGAGATCGCATGATAGAATTTTGCAAGACCAATGACTTCTTCATCGCAAATACCTTTTTTACCAACACAAACGGTGACTATACACATGGATCTCACCAGTTGGAATACGAAAGAATCTACATCTGTGGAAAGAGACTATGGAAAAGCTCAATATCATCAGTCAGAAGAAGGACAGGCACCGACTGCAGAACAGACTATCAACTGCTC